TTAGGGTTTAGGGTCTAGGGTCTAGGGTTTAGGGTCTAGGGTTTAGGGTTTAGGGTTTAGGGTAAACAACGCATTACTTACTGGTTCCTATGGGGGATAGTGGAAAAGGAAATGGAAGCTACTGTATTAGGGTACAGTATATAATAGGGTTTTAATAGGGTATCTATGAGGGTTCTTTAGGGATAATGGAGAAGAAAATGGAAACTACTATATGATATACTGGGGCATATATGAGGGTTATAGTAGAAGATGAGGGAATATACTCCCTCATATCATCCGTATATACCTATATAGTATATTCCCTTACTCCCTCCTAAGTAAGATTATGCTGCTGAGCTGGTGAATGGAACCTACGCATTGATCTGGTGGTGCACGGGCTCCCCAGGCAGTTGTTATCCACTTTACGGGAGCTACATGAGCCATAGTCTCAACTCCTAGATCCCTTTAAGAAGCCCGAGAATACTCGCCTATATAATCCCCTAAATAGCCACCTAAAAACTCCCTTTAATGAGTTTAGATGGCTTTTTGTAAATCAGGGTGTGGATTTAAAAGCGCAATGAGAGGGTCCGCGACTTTGTGTCTGTAAATAATACTGGTAGTAGCCAAAAGGAGTACGTAGGTTGAACTTACTACCGCTATTTGGGAACTGTTATTGCTTCCTTTTGTTCGCACCTTTCTCAAGTGCAGACGGACATGCGTAAAACGAGTTCTTACATCCGTCTGGAAGAGTGTCAGGAAGAGAGGTAATTTGGATCTTTCCTATGGCCGGCGCTCCTCAAACCTGTTTTAGGAGTGCATTGCAGTTGACATACTCGGATTTCACAGAAGTAGTCATGGTTGATGCTTGCATGAAGGTTCTGGGGCCCTTCCCAGCAGTCTTTCTGTGCTTAACTTTGCTGATGGGTTGGGAGGGACCCTAATATAATATAGACCCCAAAATACTATAATCCTTACTATTGGGACCCCCCAAAAAGGTACCTTTGGGAAACTCTCCATAGGAAGCGCCGCCTTTTGCAAACCGCTCATTGGACCTTCTTCTGCCGGTGGAGCCGCGGATGCACTGAGGTCAATGAAAGCCATCTGGACGAGCTTTAGAGGGTGAATGGAGAAGAGAATGGAAGCTACTATAATGGGGTATATATGAGGATTATAATAGGGTATATAGTAGGGTTATATAGGGATAATGGAAAAGAAAATGGAAGCTACTATTTAAGGTTTAGGGTGAATCTGCATGAGGATGCAGGGATTGCAAGAGTGACTACAGTACATGAGAACTTCTGATGTGATGGATAGGCGAGTCAGCATGGCCAAGGATTGTGCGGCTGCAGACCAGTGGCTGCCGCCGCGTCGGTACCTGGGCATGCTTCTGTGTTTTGTTTCTTTTTGGGTATCCCCCTGAAATCCGGACGCCAGAGCAGCAATGTGAATTATTGCAGCGGTAGCCTTAACTGCATCCAAGGACGGGCTGTGTGGATCGCCGCTGCGCTTGCAAAGTCCTCGAGGGCAACTGGACCCCCGTGCCATGGAGCAAGAAAGGAAAACTAATTTTGGTAAACCCGAAACCCTATATATATATATATCCCTATAGTACCCCTATAGAACCCCTATATTCACCTTTTTAGGATGGTAGCAATGTCACCGGCAGTCGCACTGACACTTCAAAACATGGCAAGCGCCCGGATATCAGATCGAGGAATGAATGATGATGTTGGCCCAGTCAGATTCCCTGAAGGTGAGAGGCTTTCATAGTAATGTCCCCAAAAGGGGGACCTCAGTATAGACCCAAGAATATGATAACCCTTATTAACGGGACCCCCAAAAAGGTACCCCTAATTTTGGTAAACCCTAAATCCTAGATATATCCCTATAGTACTCCTATAGAAGCCCCATATCCACCTTTTAAGGTACCCCTAAGTTTGGAAACCCCCCCAGATGAGGCTAAAACCCTAAACCGTAAATAGTAGTTTCCATTTTCTTTTCCATTATCCCCATACAACCACTATAATAATCCCTTTCTAACCCCCATAATCCCTACATACCCCAAACAGCCTAAACCCTAAACCCTAAACCCCAAACCCTAAACCCTAAACCCTAAACCGAGGTGCCCAGACGGAGCCTTTATTGGGCCTCCCTGGGACGTCACGCCTTCGTGGCAGCACCCAGTGGCCACGGCATGGACACGCACCGCTTCTGGGAGGAGCGGATGCAGAAAGCGGCCCATATATATATGTATTTATAACATGTATATATATATATGTATTATATGTATAGGCTGCTTTAATATGTATGTATATATATATACACACACACACTTTTTTTTCCCCGGAGTGTTGCAGGGATAGGTAGGGTTTAGTGCGTAACCGATCAGGTTTAAAGAATCAACACCCCCTTTTCCCGGTGTCCTTGGGGCTGCCCGAAAACGCTAGCAGCTGGATGGGAGCTGCTGTATACTATAGTATCATTGAGTATAATGCAGTATATTATGGTATATTATAGTATAATATTGAGTATAGTATATTCTGTGCGCATTCTTGTTCAGTCTTGGTCCATCTCCACTGCGTTAGCATGCTGTGGAGCTCAATCATACCCCGGTGCTTTCGCAAAGCATGCTTGCAAACCCTATATAATATAGTAGTTTCCATTCCATTTTTTATTATCCCAGTATAACCCTAATATATACCCTATTATAACCCCAATATATACCCTAATATAGTAGTTTCCATTTTATCTTCCATCATCCCAATATAGCCCCCATATGTTTATATATAACCCTATCCAATTTTACCCTAACCTAAAGGAAGCCCAACCGGAGGCTGCTGTCTGCCCCTCAGGCCTTGCTGATGGGTAGCGTGCCAGTGGTCACCACATCCACCCTGGACGGCTTGTATGCCCAGCTACTTGGAAGCTCGAAAGTGAAGTGGTGGGATCAGCGCGTGCCACATAATGATGGTGGTCGTCGCCAGCACCACCACTAGCATCATCATCATCATAATTATCATCATCATCATCATCATCATGACAGAACAGGCGCGCCGTGATCCAAGAGTAATTCAGGCCTTGCAAGCTTTGAGATGCTGTCTGCACCAAAACGGCATCTTATGGGTATGCTTTGGTTCCTAGCCGCTGCTTAGGTTCCCGGTGGTGATCCTGAAGTCCTGGCGGGAGGCAAGGGGGGGGGCTTCTGTCGTATAGTGTTTTGGGGTATAAGTATTTAGGGATATATTGGGATTCTGGTTTAGGGTTTATATTGGGGTTATATAGGGGATATATTAGGATTCTTTAGCCACATTGAAAAGAACAGGGAAAATACTACATTTTTCTGTCTTGGTAGCTGAAGCCCTACACCCACAACTTCCCAGAAAACCTGCCAAACCTGAAACCGCAGCCCTTTACTTACTGGTTCTTGGTAGGGACTAGGCGAATATGATCCCTATATAGTAGATTCCTTGATTGCCTACTATAAGCCCAATATATACACCCAATTATATCATATAGCAGATTCCATTTTCTTGTCCATTATCTCTATATAACCCTAATATATACCCTAATGCAGTAGCTTCCATTTTCTTTGCCATTACCCCTAAACCCGAACTCTGACTAGTAGTTTCCATTTTCTTTTCCATTCTCCCTAGTAGAACCCCTACAGTATCCTTATTTTTCATAATAGATTCCTTGATTTCCTACTAAGAACACTTATACTCCTGGAAACAAACATGGAAGCCCAAAAAGGAGCCCTATAAAGGCTACAGTCCCTCTAAAATAGGGCTGCATGGGTTTCCATGTTAGTTTGGGGAAGCCTAAACCCTAAACCCTAAACCCTAAAGCGTAGGGTTCTGGGGGGGTTGTCTCAGAGAGGCGCGGCCCTGGCGTGGTACACCCTGGAAGCGAAAAATCCTGCAGCGATGGGGGCCCGAGGTCTTCTCAGCTCAGCCAGCACCCAAGAACCCCCATCCCGTAGTGGTAGAGTATAGTATAGTATAGTATAGTATAGTATAGTATATTGTAATATATTCTAGTATATTATAGTATGTTCTAGTATATTATAATATATTATGGGAAGTTATGGTATATTACGGTATATTATGGTATATAGTATGGTATGAGTCTCCAAGTTTTTGTGTATGGCGTGCCGGGGAGTACAGGCTTGGGGTGTCTAGGGTTTAGAGTTTAAGTTCGCGCATGGTGGGAGCTTGAAATGAAAGAGTTCCTAGATGGGGTCGGGCTCAGGCCTATTATGCTTTGCAGGTGCTCACTGAGTGCCAGGTACGGAAAGGCCTGGCCGCAAAAGGGGCATAAACTACTGGTCCGTGGTGGCTCTTAGTGGGAAGCCAGCATGCGATCCATGTGCTGTATTCTGCAAAGCTCGGCCTTACAATGTGTACTGCCGGTGTTCCATGAAGTTTCGACCGAGGGTGCAGCAGAAATTGACCACCAGCTACTGGGCCCAAGTCATTCGTGGTTACCACGAAGCCACGAGTCTCGGCATCCATATGCTTGCAACTCACAGTCATGTGTTGCCCCTGAAGCCCCTTTGCCAGATCTATATCAGATGGGGTCAGGGCTAACATATTATAATATATTATAGTATATTATAATATACTATAGTATACTCTATATACTATCATCTGTCATAGGGGATGAGACCATGAAGGCGCCAGCGCCTTGGGGGCCCTTGGCTGCAGCTTTCTAGTCCCTTCAGAGCTGCAAGGATCCAAGCTTTGGACAAGGAGTTGTGAGGGAGGCTGATGCCATTCTGCACATTGGGCAGTGCCATGACCAATTGCAAAAGATGCGGTGCGCAGAACAGTGCGAGCAAGGGCAACAGAAGGATGGGCCAAGCACCCTCTTAGAAGCTCAGAAGATGTGCAACTTCTCCTCATTCCTCCTACTGTCACCGCGATGGCGTATGCATCTAGTGGCATCATGATCATCCAGCAACAGGGCTTTGAAGCAGATCCCACATCAGTGAACTTTCAGCAGCCCTGGCACTCTGCGGCCAGGTAGGCTACACTGATGGTGGCGCCCTCACGGAGGCCTGCTGTTGAAACGTTAGTACATAATAGTATATTGTAGTGTATTATAGTATATTATAGTATATTATGTATCCAGGCAACCAATTGTTTGGTTACTTCACCGAGGATCACAGGGTTCTACAGATTGCGCACTAAACGCTCAGAACCGCTATCAGCCTCAAAGGCGGTACGTCGGCGGCCCTACTCCCTGGTCCTCTTCGACGAGGCGAGGAAGATTGATAGGAGTGCATACCTGACTGAGGCAGCCCCTGATGGACCGTTGCAAATGTCCATTGGCCATGTTGTTGTGGGGCTCACGCTCTCACTGCTTTTGAGTTGATTGTTGGCCCCAGTTCTGCTGCTACAGCATTGTTGTCATTGCTTGCACTTACCCTTCCAACTGCTGTGTAGTTCAGACTTAACTCCTAGTCCTATTAGCAGAAGCATCATAATACACCCGCAGTGGGGTTTAGGGTTTAAGGGTTTAAGGGTGTAGGGTTTAAGGGTTTAAGGGTTTAAGGGTTTAGGGTTTAAGGGTTTAGGGGTTTAGGCTTTGGCAGGTGGAGAAAGCACATCCAGATGTCTTCAACGTCCTCCTGCAGCTCTTGGACGATGGCAGGCGCCTGGCTCAAGGGTTGATGCCGGAAAGGTCTTCCTTGTGATCTGTTAGGGTTTAGGGTTTAGGGTTTTAGGGTTTAGGGTGTTAGGGTTTAGGTTTAGGGTTTTAGGGTTTTAGGGTTTAGGGTTTAGGGGTCTATTGCCTCCAAGAATGGAGAATCAAAAGGGAAAAAGAAGATGGAACATGAAATGGATACTGGGGTTCTATAAGGGCGTATGGGGTTTAGGGTTTCCCCAAACTAGGGGTACCTTTTTTGGGGGTCCCTATCACTAGGATTAGAGTATTTTGGGGTCTATTCTGGGGGTCCCACTATGTGGGGAAACCACCAGCTGCCTCCTCAGCGGTCAATGTTGGGCAGGCCTCCCTGAACGGATCTGAAATTTCGGAAGCATCTAGAAGAGCTCTACTTTCAAGATATTACTGTTGTTGTAGTATTCCGACTACTACTATGATCTATATTTTTACTATCATAGTTATGAAAGTATATCTCCATAGTATTATTATAGTATATTATCAACTCTGGCTGAAGTAGTACAAGCCAGCGCGCCCCTGATCGGTTCACCACCATCATGATGTGCAGACTGAAAGAGCAAACAGAAGACCACGCCAATCAGAACCATGGGCACGAAAACGTATTCATGGTTGTCTATATCTGTATATATATACATATACATATATATATATATACACATAGATTCATATATATATATCTAGATACACACACATATATATATATATGTATATACACACACTTTTTTATGCTCAGAGCTTCTAGGAATGGGAATAAGCCCTAACCCATGTTCTTTAAGCTACTCATCACCAGCAAGCAGTAGTGTTAACTTGAAGAGGAACAGGGATGTTGTGGATGTTGCCTCCTTACAGAAGTCCCCCAGATCCAAACCCCACAATAGACCCTGAGCCCTAAACCCTAAACCCTGACCCCTAGACCCTAAACCCTAAACCTTAAACCCCTAAACCCTAAACCCCAAACCCTCATGGAACCATAGCGGGCTCGGTGGTGGTGGTGGCTTCAGGCTCACGGACTCCAGAGGCCGAGTTGTCTCCTTTGCCAACACTTTGGCCTTGGACTTGGACCTACCTTGTCTGGGTTTAGGGTTTAGGGTTTAGGTTTGGATTTGGGGTGGGGTGGGGCAAAATCGGGGGTGGAGAAGGGGAGTATTGTACGAAAAGAGGGTGGGGTGGGGTGGGGATATATATGGGGTTGTATAGGGGAGTATTAAAGGAGTTTGTAAGGGAGAGTACTGGAGTTGTTGGGTTGTGGAGTTTAGTTTCGTGCTAAATCAGAGCTCGTGGCTTGGAAGGTTGCATCAAAAAAGGAACATTCTTCGGAGGGTGCAAGCAGGTGCCAAGTTGAGACAGCGCGGATTCCTGGCATTGATCCCCTCCCCTAAGATTAAACCCCCACCCCACTTGATATGAAATACTCCCATTATGTGGTATCTTTTAAAAATGTTGGGAATATTCAATATTAGGAGCGGGGTGGGGGGGGTAAAATATTAGGGGGAGGGGGATTAATGTTCTAGTCAAATTATTTTGGTGTAGAGCTCACCTCCAAACCAAACAGGATCCTTCAATGGCGGCTGGGGCTAGGGTCTTTCTGGAGACCCTAAACCCTAAACCCTAATCCTGAGACCTTGGCTCCCATCCATTTTGTTCAGACAATGTAGCCGAGCGGGCCTCAGCATTCCATGGAGAGCGTTGCGCTACACGAACCCCCAAATCAGTAGGATGTCGGGATCCAGCACTAACACAGAAGGCAGATGACGGCTGCTTTCTTTAAATTTTCTCGTAGGGTTGATATGGTCCTCCTAAAAAAAGGAGTCCCCCAAACCCAAACCCCACAATAGGCTCCAATGGCTCCTTTTTATGGGCCCCCAATAGGGGGTTTGGGTTTTGCGGGGCCTGCTCTAAGTAGGGCCCACATCACCCCTATGATTTTCAGGGTGTCTCAACATTTCATTTCCCCGCAGCTCCCCGCACATGTCCAAAGGTCGTCATGACCTCAAACATCGGAAGCAGGTCGGCGGTGGGCTTAGCTCGTAGGGCATATATGCCACATGAGGACTTCAGGCTACAGGTTCAAGCAGTCAGTGGCAGAACGAAGTGCTTGGAGCGTCAAATTTCTTGCCCCATTCTGTTGCTGAATCGCAGGGCTCTTCCTTGTAGAGGCAGCTTTTTTGGCTCTGAATCTTGGTTTGAGACCTTCTCCTACACATACTTCCGAAACATGAGTAGTACTACCAGAAGAACATGCAGAATCAATAATACCATCATCACGGCTAGTCTACCTTCTCTGCTCATCGCACTCTGCTCAGGTGCAAAAGTCTGCGGCTGGTGGTTTGGGCTTGGGTTTCGGCGTTGGCGAGGAGCCTCTTCGTTAAATCGAGGGAGAGATTGTCATAGGCGGGGGAAAGGAAGGTAAGTAGGTAAGCAAGCCTTGCTACCCTAAACCCTAAACCACATAGGAATCAATGGATTCATCCTTGGAATAAGTACATCCTACAATCTGAAGTTTTGCACAAAATAATGTAGACCCATGATTCATAAACCCCCTCCTTTTAAGGGCCTTACTATATTAGGATTCCTACGATAACCCCTATGAATCGGAGGGTGTTTATTAATTGGGGTTCTACATAATTCCTTCATGCCCTGTGAAACAGGAGTAGGAGCAAGTAGCAATTGAAGTTCCGTTTGCACCCTGATAGTCCAAAGCTACTGCGCGACGAATTTTCTTGGGAGTGCAACCCAAATGCCTAAATCCTCGTCTAAGCGCCCTGGACCCTAAGCCCTAAACCCTATTCCTTTCGGAATGGATGTCGGGAAGAATGAAGTACATCCTACAATCCAAAGGTGCCCAAAATATTCCTTCAGCCCTAGACCCTAAGCCCTATAATGTACTCCTTTTGGAATACTATAGTAGTTTCCAGCTTATTTTCCATTATCCCTATATAACCCCAATATAGCTTACGTAACCCTATGTAAGCCTATAATTCCTACGTAACCCCAATATATGGTAGTTTCCCAAAATAGGGGGACCCTAATACAGACCCCAAAGTAGTTTAATCCTTATTATGGGGACCCCCAAAATGGTACCCCTAATTTTGGGAAACCCTGAACCCTATATAGGCCCCTATATAACCCCAGTTTCCATTTCATTTTCCATTTTCTTTTCCATTTGATTCTCCATTATAGGGGTAAGTGGTACCCCTAATTTTGGGAAACCCTAAACCCTAAACCCTATAATTTTGGGAAACCCCCATATGAATTTCGGAAAGGATGAAGAAGAGGACAAGTACAGCAAGGTAAAGGAGCTGGTCCACGAGGAGACATCGAGCGTGTCTGGAGTAAGGTTTAGGGTTTAGGGTTTTAGGGTTTTAGGGTTTTAGGGTTTAGGGTTTAGGCTTCTGAGTTTAGGGTTTAGGGTTCAGGGTTTAGGCTTCTGGGT